TACATCAACAAGCTTTCTCTATTTATTGGTTGATTTGAAACATCTTCAAAAACCACCAAAACCAATTTTATTTAATTCTGTCATCATCATTAAGTATTCTAGAGACGTTTTTAATCGATTAGCACCATTTTGACATACATCAACAAGCTTTTTCTATTTATTGGTTGATTTGAAACATCTTCAAAAACCACCAAAACCAATTTTATTTAATTCTGTCATCATCATTAAGTATTCTAGAGACGTTTTTAATCGATTAGCACCATTTTGACATACATCAACAAGCTTTCTCTATTTATTGGTTGATTTGAAACATCTTCAAAAACCACCAAAACCAATTTTATTTAATTCTGTCATCATCATTAAGTATTCTAGAGACGTTTTTAATCGATTAGCACCATTTTGACATACATGAACAAGCTTTCTCTATATATTGGTAGTTTTGAAACATCTTCAAAATCCCCCAAAACAATTTTTTTAATTCTATTATCTTCATTAAGTGTTTTTAGTGGAATAGCACCATGTTGAGACACACCAACAAGCTTTTTATATCTTTTGACATCTTTGAACCATTTTCAAAAATACCAATACTAATTTCATTTAATTCTATCAACCTCATTAAGTATTCTAGGGATGTTTTTAGTTGAATAGCACCTTTTAACACTCATCAACAAGCTTTTTCTAATTCTTGACATACATCAACAAGCTTTTTCTATTTATTGGTAGTTTTGAAACATCTTCAAAATCCCCCAAAACAATTTTTTTAATTCTATTATCTTGATTAAGTGTTTTTAGTGGAATAGCTCCATGTTGAGACACACCAACAAGCTTTTTATATCTTTTGACATCTTTGAAACATTTTCAAAAATACCAACACCAATTTCATTTAATTCTATCAACCTCATTAAGTATTCTAGGGATGTTTTTAGTTGAATAGCACCTTTTAACACTCACCAACAAGCTTTTTCTAATTCTTGATGTCTTTGAAACACTTTCAAAAAACGTCAAATTCGCTGTTTTTAATTCTATCATCATCGTTACGTATTCTAGAGATGTTTTTAATCGATTAGCAACATTTTGACATTCATCAACAAGCTTTTTCTACTTTTTAGTATCTTTGAAACACTCAAAAATCACCAAAACAAATTTTAATTAAGTCTACCATCCGTATCAAGTATTCTAGAGACGTTTTTTATTGGTTTAGCACCATTTTGACATACATCAATAAGTTTTTTCTATTTATTGGCACACCAACAAGCTTTTTATATCTTTTAATATTTTTGCAACATTTTCAAAAATACCAACACCAATTTCATTTAATTCTATCAACCTCATTAAGTATTCTAGGGATGTTTTTAGTTGAATAGCACCTTTTAACACTCACCAACAAGCTTTTTCTAATTCTTGATGTCTTTGAAACACTTTCAAAAAACGTCAAAATCGCTGTTTTTAATTCTTTCTTCCCTGTTAAGTATTCTAGAGATGATTTTAGTCAATTAGCACCATTTTAACATAGACCAACAATTATATGATATGTTTGAAATCTTGTCAAAAAGTATCAAAATCGTTTTATTTCATTCTTTCGACGTCGTCAAGTATTATAGAGGTGTTTTTAGCCGATTAGTAGCATTGCAATTCATACCAATCAAGTTTTTTCGTATTGCAAAGTTTTTTTATTTGATTAAAACCATTTTGACACACACCTACAAGGTTTTTGTAAGACTTTTCGTCCTCGTTAAGTGTTGCACATTTCATATTTATTAATTAAATCAAACTTTATAAGTTATATCATACTTGGATAATAAAAAAACAATAAAATAAAACGTGCGCTTGTTTACTTGTTGCATCTTTGTCATATACTGCATACAAATTAAACAAGACATGTTCTGCAGCTATTGTTGACTAAGTTGTTTTGCAACGAACATTTTAAAGTGTTTTATAACGGCACCTTTCAGAGTACGAGATGCATTTTATTGAATTAAAACAAATTTAAAAAGAAATTAGTGAATTCTTTGGGAGACCTCCCAAAGAGTGTTTATTCGATAATATTTATAAAACGATCAGCAGTTTACTTAAAAGAAAGTACCTTCCTTTGCCAACTAATCGTTATTGACTTTTAAAGTGTTTATTTCTTTAAAGTGTAAAGGAAACGTTTGTTTTCGTCATCACTTTTAACATGGAACTGTAATTGTATTAAAATCACTTTAAAGATAACAATTTAACATAAAAGTTGTTTGTTTATGGTGCTTCAATATGGGTTTTGTGTGTTTAGGACTTCTATTAACTCGGTTAAATTATTCAATAACTGTGTTGCTTCGAATTTTAGTCGAGTATAAACTGTGTTAATGGGTTTGTCTTATCTTAACGTTTTTTGTAAACATATTTATTTATCCTAGATAGATTACAATGCGTAATGTTACATTGAGATAGTGAAACAAAAATTCTTTTAAAATGGATTCATTAAAAAAAAATTTTATTCGAATCGCGCTGACGTAAACTTTTAGCTAATTTCCATCTATTTATATCAATTACGACTTTTTAAATAACTCCTCAAGGTTTATTATTAAAGTATCTATCGATCACCTGTTGCTTAACAAAAATGTAACTTACCAACTCTCTCCGCGATCTTTATCTTTATCGGTGATATGCTGAGCCACGCTGTAACCGAAATACGATCCTTTTTCGCCTTTGTGAAAAAGAAAATTGCGCTCCTCCAGATTGAAATTGACCGCCAATCGACACACACACGCAAAAATCACCAAGCGAACAAACATTATTATCAAATTATTCAATTATTTTTAATAACTTTAAATCAAAATAATGAAAAAAAAAAAGATAAGATTATCGCGGTTAGTTTTTGAGATCGAGTTAGTTTTCTTATTAATCTTTTTTGTTAGATCATCGCGATCGCAGGTGAATGAGAGAGAGCGCGAGCGCACGTCTACGTCGAAACCCTGCCGAATCGTTTCTGTTCTTTGATCGCAACTTTTTGAATAAGAGCGGTAGAAAACCGGTAAGATTAAAACGTGGTAGATATATGCAACCAATTATACACACCCAACAAGTTTAATCAAGAAAATTCACTGAGTGTTAGGCAATTCTTTCTACACGCTTACAAAAAATTTGTTGTAAATTTAACAGAAAGAAGCTGAAAAGTTGCGATTTGGGGAATGAACCTGTGAGATGATTTGCAACGATTTCAACAGTGACTTGTGTTTAATTTTATATAG